ACAAAAGGCTCCTTTAGGTGTGTTCCATGCAGACCAGGGTTTGAACTGAAGAACCAGCAATGCCAGGGTAATTTCTCGCCTATTTGTAGGTAGATTTCCTAAGGATGAGTATAAATGTAAAGCCGTTTCCTTTCTTACAGACGTTGATGAGTGTCTGCAGAATCCCAGCCCTTGTGTTAACAGTCAATGTGAGAATAGCCCAGGCAGTTACCAGTGTGTCTGTTCCAGTGGGTACAAACTAGAGGGAAACAGTTGCATCGGTAAGCCTATTATACTATTATATATTACTATTATCTAGTACTCGTATAGCCTGTTGTCTGCTGTGATTTTCACCATCTGGTTGTAATTGTTAACAACATGAAAACATTCTTGATTTCAGATGTGGACGAATGCGAAGACCCATCGCAGTGCGCAGGTGAAGAATGTGTCAACCTTAAAGGATCTTATAGATGTATTCCTTGTCGGCGAGGCTACATCATACAGAATGGAAGATGCACAGGTAAATTACACTTGAAAACTTCCATCATAAATGCTAGAAATACTGTAGCTAGATCTTAGTGGTTTTACCTCATGCCATTTTGTTTCAGAGATTTTGTCTGAACCGTGTAATAACCACGGGTGCCTTATGAATAATCCAATTAATAACTAAACTTTCATGCTGAGCATGACGTGTGTTACATAAGTTGTTAAGTTCATTCAGTGTCAGATCCATTATGAAATATTTTATTTATGAATTCCAATTTTCCAAAGTGTTTTCCTTGCAAACATAGTAAAACAGCTTCCAGTGTCCTCCAGATGCAAAGAAAAATGTTGTGGGCAGTTTATTACAGAATTATGTGAAGTCTGTCTAGTATATTATATTGAGATGTTGTACGTGAGTGTGAAACAGAACGAAAACAGACTGTGTTTGGAATAAGAGAAAAGTTTACAAGCAAAATGTGTAACGCAGATGGGTCTGTATGATCCAAATAATCTGGGGGTTCATTCTATTTTAAGGTGATGCCTGTCAGATTAAAATTATGGGGAAAGTAACGATATAAACTGATAATAACATCGTACCATTTTACTAACCAATTAGTAAAATTTGAATGTACCTCTTAATGGTGATTGACACCTCATCCCCTGTGAATGGTTTATATAAACTCCCTCTTAGCAATTTTAATATATTTTTTTATATAGCAAATGAATTGAATTGCTCTTACAGCGTAGATCTGTGTGTATTGTCCTGAAAAGTAACTAAGCAACCAAGAATTGGGTATAATTAAGATATCACAGGCAATGACAGAAAAATTAACAGCTCATATCTAAATTTATGCTGTCATAATGGTGGCTGACAACATTGAGTTTTATAGCCTTTTTTTCAGATGCTGGCCAAAGGATTGAGTTGCAGATACCATTTGAAACTTGCAATTACATGAAAGCATAACGAGCAATATTAACAGTGTTCGACAGACCCATGCACCACAGATTAACTACAAGCCAACATTTGCATTTGCCAGTTCACTGCAACACATTTGTGCGATAGGTGAATTCAAACAGATCACCAGCTGTCATTCAGTACTCAAATGCTGTATTTTTAATGATTCAAATAACATTGCCCTCTGCCAGTCTTATAGACTGACTTCAATTTTATTTGTTAGAAGTGACAGAAAAGCACCCCTTAGATTTTCACTGTGTTTTTGTTTTGCTCATACACATCAAACACAGCAGTGTTACTATACTTCCTGGTTTGGTCAAGGGAGAATATAAAGGTTGGCTCAGAGTAATGATCTGGACAATGAAATGCAGAGGTAATGCATCGCACGGGTTGGCAGCATCTCAACAAGGAATGTTAAAGGCCCAATGCTAAACTGCTCTTTGCAGCTAAATGAAATCTCCAGGAAACAGTGCTAAGAAAACCATACAGCTACAGTCTATAGGCTTGTCTGGGTGCTTAAGGATCTATTTTGCACAAAACGTCTTTATCCTGCTTCTTGAAATTAATCCAAATTCAGTGTTTTATGTCCATCTTAAACCCATCTAACAGAAAACAGTTACTAATAAGTGAACTTTTTTCTCAGATGTAGATGAATGCCAGAGCCTACAAGGCTGTGGTCCTGAGGGCATCTGTGTGAACACAGCAGGCTCCTATCACTGCGACTGCCAGCCGGGATATAGAGCAGCCGGCCCTGGTCATCAGTGCAAAGGTTGGTCTTCCCTGTGTGACAATTTCCAGGCCTCCTCATTACATATTACGGCATCATTTACATAAATATACCATTTTTTCCAATAGGGTGGCTCTGTGGGTAGCACTGTTGGCCAACAGCTCTCAGGATGACGGTTCAAATCTGCTCTTTTCATTGCATTTGGAGTTTGCATGTGTTCTGTGTCATGTGGGGTAATTATTATACCCCAAAGGCATGGTTAGGCTAACAGGAATCTCTAAATATACAGAGTATATGATTGTATGTGTGTGTGTGTCTGTGTGTGTGTGTGTGTGTGTGTGTGTGTGGTCTCATATATATTACATATCACAAATGTTCCCACAGTGTGATGAAAAACCTGTTAATTTGACCTTGTGGGGACATCTTTTTGGTCTCAATTTTATAAAAATGCAATCGAGCAACTAAAGGCTTGTATTTTGTTTGGTTACTTATGGTTAAGGTTACAGCTGGGTGGGAGTTACGGTTGTTGGAGTTGGGATTAGGGTTATGGGCAAGTTCATCCTCACCATGACCTGGCATCCTATCTGGACGGTTCCTGTAATTCCCTACCAGCCCTGTGCTGGCTGGGATGTGCAGCAGGCCCCTCTTCAGCTCTCAAATAGAGGCGGCTGGAAGGTGAATGAGTACCAGAGTTGGGTAATTCAAGTCCAGAGAGTAAAAGTCCAGACTGGGATTTTGTTTCAACCAACAAGTTGAATACTCTGTGACTGTGACTCTTTATGCTCAACTGGTTGGTTGAAACAAAATCTTGGTCTGGACTTTTACTCTCTGGACCTGAACTACCCAACTCTGATGAGTACCATCCAGTAACAGTTGTTTACTGTTCATTTCTCTATAATGGCGATATGAAGCTTACTGCTAACAATAATGAGTTGATTACAATTTGTTATTTCAAATGGTCATATTAAAGTTATTCTCTGACATAATTGCTTTTCTTGGAATTACTCACGTCTGTATAACAGAAAAAAAAAACAACTACATTAGTAAATTGAAATAGAAAGAATAAAATGCAAGACAAATGATGAAAATTAGGACTGAAATGTTTCTTTACTTTGCTATGTATTCTTAGAGATCCACCCCAGCTAAGTTTGAAGTTTGTTCTCTAATCCTTTTATTGTGTTACTTGCACAATTAAAATACTCATCACAGACAATAAGATACCTTTTGACTCTGCGTTAATGTGTATGCAGATATCAACGAGTGTTTTGAGGGGGAATATTGCTTCCCACATGGGGAGTGCATGAACACAGAAGGATCATACCTCTGTGTGTGTTCTGAAGGGTTCAAATCCAGCATGAATCTCAGCTCCTGCATTGGTAAGGGCGTACAGTACGTTCGTCACCTTTCTTGACCCTTTGCTATTATGGTGTTAGGACTGTTTCTCATTGACCGTATTTTGTAAACAGTTGTAAACAGAACACTTAATGAAATGTGGTAAAAAAAAAAAAACAGTTCATCAGGCAGCAGTGAACAATTCAGGTGCAGGTGTCCAGAGTCAGCAGTGGGATTTGCTTGGCGTCCACATGCATGCATTTTTGTTAATTGTGACATTGCCTGTCTAGATGTGGATGAGTGTGCCAGGCCAGAGGCATGCCAGGATGGAAGCTGTGTCAACACTCAGGGATCATTCCAGTGCCAGTGTGATGTCGGATTCATGACCAATCCAGAGCAAACCACCTGTCTAGGTAAAATCATGGTATTACCGAATGAATGTTAATTTCTGTAACATGTTTATGATGCATCAGGACTTGACAATGTGACACGTTATTTGATCTCATTAGCGCTTTCAAACGTTTGGCACTGAGAACAGAAGCAGGTGACACAAGAGTGGGCACGGGAAATTGATTTTATTTTGTAGTAGATTTCTTACAGAAATGGGATGGCAAAGAGGTTCCACAGATGCATATGAAAAGAAAACATATGGGTTTAAATGAGACACAAATAATAAAAGCTCAAGTAGGAAGCGAGGAAAGTGAAATAATAACAGGCCTAGTGAGAAAGACAAACAATTAAGGTGAAATAATGAAAAAAAGAACAAGTGGAATGAATCAATTCAGTTTTTATTCTGACAGTAACATTCATATTAAGATACAACATATTATAATAGAATTAAAATTTTATTTTGTCCCTATATATGTATGAACTTCTGTGTGGGCATGTAAATATGTGACATGAATCCATTTAGCCTTTATCTGGCAACATGGCATTCATATTTAGATACAATATGGTGCAATGTGGATGTTTGTGTGTGTATATGGATGTAGGTGTTACATTTATGTGTGTACATTGATATAAGGATTCCAGACAACAATTGGTGCAGCAGGACACCGTTTTGCTCATTCAGTCTGTTCTGAGTTAATAATTAAGTAATTTATATGGAACTCAGTGATCTGAGTGCAGAGGATTCTTGTACCGAACAGCCCATGTTGCATTTTTAATTCCTGTGCTGCTGTCTCTTAGATAAAGATGAGTGTGCAGACTCTGGGGGTGCCATATGTTGGCCAAAGCGCTGTGAAAATACTATTGGTTCTTACTACTGTGTCACCATCTGCGAGCCTGGTTACACTGTCAGCGTCTCTGGGGAGTGCATGGGTAAGAGTCCACATCATCTTTTAAAATATAGATTATAAATCTGTGACAGGTTTTACTAGGAAACATATTGGTATTAACTGGGTGGAGAGAAACTGATCTTGTGTAGGCTTGACACAGACATATATTTTGGCTGTAACAAGTATCTTGTGATTTCCATGAAAGTGTAAGTATTATATAATGGAGAAGTATAATATTATTATTAGTATTGATCATCTTGTCAGGTCTCTAGGAGTGTATATTGAAAACTCCATGTGCTTTATTAGTGACAAATATACTACCTCCCACAGATATTAATGAATGTGTCAATGAGACTATCTGCGGGGAGCACTCTTTCTGCCAAAATCTCATAGGGACGTACCAATGCATGTGCAACCAGGGCTACAAGGCCACGGACAATGGAAAGGGATGTGAGGGTATGGATTTTTCAAAAATATACTGGTCCATTTTGTCTAGATTACAATCTACTGGGCAGTGCATTACTTGACTTTCACAGTCACAGTGTAAAGAGCAATTTTGAATCACCAGTTCACCAAAACATCCATCCACCCATCCTTCTTCTAACTGTTCATCTTGGAGAGGGTCGCGGGAGAAGCTAGAGCCTATCGCAGGCAGCACAGGGCAGAGGAACCCCCTCTATAGCAGCCCTGTGGACTGGTATCCTATAGAGCATTAATTCTCAACCCGGTCCTCAGGAATCCACAGACAGTCCACATTTTTGCTCCCTCCCAGCTCCCTGCCAGGCAGACAGTCCATATTTCACCTTCCAAAGGAGCTGAAAGGGAGCAAAAACATGGACTGTCTGGGGCTCCCCAAGGACCGGGTTGAGAGACATTGATCTACAGGATACCAATCCACAGGGCATACGCATGCAAATGTACACACAGGGCATACGCATGCAAATGCACACACAGGGCATACGCATGCAAATGCACACACAGGGCAATTTAGAATATGTCAGTTCACCTAATTGCGTGTCTAGCACTTTTTGTGAAGTTGAAGATATTCAGGGAATTTAAATGTTTGTTTTGGTGTCTTGCACTCGGCTATTTTTTTCCCGGCATTTTGGCAGATGTTTACAAAGACAAAGGATGTTACAATCAATATTTGATAGAAGTTTGTTTTATCATGACATGAAGTAACTGTCACTCGCATTTCTGTTCCTCCACTTTTATACTGATTTCTGCCTGAAAATGGCGCAGCCTTATTGTTGCTTCCTGACCCTTTTTGCAGATGAGAATGAGTGTGAAACCATACAAGGTGTGTGTGGGACAGCGCGCTGTGAGAACATGGAGGGGTCCTTCCTGTGCGAGTGCCCAGGAGAGAATGAGGAGTTCGACCTCCGCCTGAGGAGGTGCTTCAGCCGACCCCAGTCTGGTAAGATTCACCATGCTTAAAAAGATCTCTTTAGGAATGAGTCTGCTTATAGCTCCATTTTTTCATAATCTATAACATTGTTACATTTATTCTGTAACCTATTGACGTTATACAGTAGATATACACTAGTGGCCAAAATTGTGGAAACACGTCCAGTTCTTACAAATTGTTAGAATTGCTTTATTCCAGTTACTCCAATTACCTACTTAATCATCCAATGTGTAACATTCAAATTCAATACATTTGAAACAATGTATGAAACATTCTTTGATTGTTTATAAACATTACTGCCAATATTTCTGCAGTAATTTTTAAAGCGTAATGCCAAAAATGCTGGGCCAAAAAGCTTGGGACAGAATCATTCCTGTACAAATACTATTGAAGTAATTTGCTTATAGTAATCAAATAGTCCCCTTACAGTGTTCATTTTGGGTATTTTTATACATAACAACATATGGAAAGTATTAAAACTATGGTAATTCTTTTTATTATTACCGTAACCCATCTGCTTCTGGCTAGCTACCTGAGGCTAATGCTGCATGCACAGAAAAGATGACGTCATTTTCTCTCGATGACAAATATAGACTCATCGAAACTTATGAGAAACCACCAAAAACGAGCCACTGAGATGCAGCAGCGAAACTACAATAAGCTATATTTTATGTACAGTACTGTCCTGTATTATAGAATATTGAATTATACACAGTTCAGTCATTTAATTTGTACAGGACTGTAATTTGAGAAGTGTTTGAAACAGCTGTACTGTATTTTGAAAGAGTCAATAGGTGGGGCTAAGCTTAACTTCTACTTTACTAAATTGCAAATTAAATGATTTTTCTCCTCAGCCAGCAAAACATACACCCAGACTCTAAGCCTGCATCTCACTGTAATTCATAATAACACATACAGTGGATATAAAGGCTCTACAGATCCCTATTGAAATCAAGTGAGAAATCAAGATAAATCATGTCAGACATGACTGCAAACTGTGAACCATGAGGTACTGTGAAGAAGCATCATTCATTGGGGCATGAAGAAGAACTGTGGTATTGTGACAATGCATCATACACTGGGGCATGAAAAAGTACTGTGGTACTGTGAAAATGCATCATACATTGCTTCTTTTCACCTGGGACAAGGGCTATAGTCAAGATGGATGGGATAATGACTAGCTGCAAATATGAGAATATTTTGCCAGAAAAAACTGCTGGCCTCTGTCAGAAAGCTGAAGATAAAGAGGAATTTCAGCCTGATAATAACTAAATCACAAATCCAAGTCAAACAAAGAATGATTTCAGAAAAGAAATATCTAAATCTTGGAACGGCCAAACCAGAGCCCATAAAAACCCGTGGAATGACCTAAGGAAGGCTATATGTGTGTAAAAGACTCCTTGACAATTTGAAGAAACATTTTTTGCAAGGATGAGTTTGATAAAATCAAGGTGTGCAAAGTTACGGCTGTGCACTTATACAAGCAGGCCGCTATTAGCTTTTTAATTTATTAATAATAATAATTAATTACTATTTATCCTACTATGCATCTATTTATTTTTCTCTTGGATTTTATTGGTTGCAAGGTTATATGCAAATTGGCTGCAGGTTTGACATGAATTATGTTGAGTTATGGAGTTGCATCACAAAAACCTGCATTCGGAATTGGGGTGTGTAGACTTTTTACAGCAGTAGCCAAAATTATGGGAAGGTCTGTTGACCACTATAACCGTGATAATTGTAAGTGGTTTCCACTGTACTATCATTATGATGTCACAGCTATAGAAACCATCAACATTATACAGAAACGCAGTATTAGGCTTGCAAGCTTCAGGGTTTTTCTCGACTTTTTCTCACAATGTCCAGGTTTTCTTGAAAAGTCCATCTTGAAAATGGCTTTGTACATATATCTTCGACCAAATCAATTTCCTCTCCTCTGTTAGCCATCGTGGGTTGACAAAACAGCTATTAAATCAACACAAATATGTTTTAGTTTGAGCAGGTTGCTACAGATGCGGTTTGCTAGCTCTGACCGGTTCACTCTCTGACCATCCAATCACAGGACGTGAAAATGCAGATGTTGTCATATGCCTGCTAGATGCCCCCGGCGTTCCCCAACTCGAAATCTGATTGATTAAAGCAACAGTTTCACTGGCATCTACTTTAAGCTACAGGTGCCCACACTGTTGATTCTGGAGACTCAAGGCAGATTTCACTGACCCTGGCAACACTTGATGGCTGAAATATGATTGGATATAAGCGCTACCATAAACAAATACTACTGGAAGCAGTGCAAAAATATCAATAAAATATCAATAAAAATATTTTAAAATAATAAAACATAAGTTATTTTGACTTGCGTTGAGGCCACTAGAGAAGGCCTCACTGGCCTTGACGGCCCTCCACTGCTCTATATGTGTATATACAGTATCTGTGCATGGTGGGAGTCCATCCATCCATCACCATAGCCGCTGAATGTCAACTGGGGTCGCAGGGGGGCCCGGAGCCTATCCCGGGAACAATGGGCACAGGTGGGAACCAACTCTGGGCAGTCGCCAACACACCGCAGGGCGAACACACATAGCCACACTCACACAACTACAGGGCCAATTTAGACTCGCCAATCAACCTGCATGGTGCGAGTGACTCATCTAAAAGGTAGTAGTGTGTGATTTTTCTGCTGTACGTGCCCTCAGGAACAGTTAAGTGTTCACCTACTGCTCGTCACCTGGCAGGATCCTCTCTCAACATGTCCAAATGTGCTACAGCCTATGACTTGTGGCAAAACTGACTTACACTACTATGCACCCTTCTGCAAAGTCCATAAATGTTCACAAGTAGAAATAAGATAAGTTTTCTAAATTGAACTTTAATATACCCATACACTTTTAAAATGGAGTATATAGTATCAGCCTAGGCTACAAATGAGATCACCCAAAAGTCACAGGTGATACGAGTGCATTTTGGTGTCTTTACTCATCGAGAATGAACACATTTGCAGATCAACAAGAGGGCGGAGGACACGTGTGGTTACATAGCTGGTCGAGGAAGCGCATGAATGTGAGGAAGACCTGATTGTGCTGCAGTGGACCTTACTGAAGAATATGAGAGAAAACAATATTTGAGCAGCATTATGTAAGACCTGGAACTTCATTCTGGACTTCCACCAGCCTCAGTACCTCTGGAATGAACACATCAGATTAGCATTAGTCAGAGAAGAAATTATTAATAAATGTACAATTTCAGTGATCATTTTTTTCCTTGGCAATGAACACTGTGGTCAGGTCTGCCGAAGTGTAGGGCCAAGAGCTTCCTCCCAAGCCTGAAAACAGCCCTCAATTAGAGTGTTCATGCATGATCTCACTGCAACAACAACATCAGTCCCTGGGAAAAGGTGGATCCTACAGGGGCTATAGAAGCTCATCAGATGGGCTTGTATAAGTGAGAAAAGTGAGAAGTGAGAAAAGTTAATTTGCCCAGGGTTTAGGGGACTAGCTAAATGCTAACACGTTTTACTTCTCAATATTCATGACGTGAATTTGCCGCTTCACAGAACAAGCAATCAGTAATCACAGGAAAATATTTGACAGCACGACCAGTAGTAAAGGTGTATTTGGCAGCGGTAAACAAATCAAGGACTGCAGAATGCAATATTTCAGTTTGAATTAGGACTAAGATATAGGGTATTAGTTGGGATTTTGACTTCTGAACTTACCAGACTTAGATGCTTCTCAGGAAAACATATTAGAGAACTACCAGCTGAAGGCTGACCTAAGAAGACCTAAGATGACCCGTAGAGACGACATCAGCTCATATCTGAAAGCTGCCAAAACTTTCTTTGAAGAATTTTTAGATTAAAGAACTTCTATAGATTTGTGAAAGGATGTAATATGCAGTATTGCTGAGGTAGATTTTTGGGTTCTACTAGAATAGATCTACATGTTTCAGTGTTCCAGCACACATTATTTTTCGCATACTGTACATCTCTATTTACTTTGCCTATAACTTTGTCTGAAACACTCTTTTAGAGCTTTAAGCCCCTAAGCCCCACCCCTGATGAACCCAGTGTGCTCTGATTGGTCAGCTTGCCCTACACCTTCTGCCCCTGTCTTGCTGTCTGCAGGCAGATACTTACAGGTAGGCTGCCAATAAGAGGGCACAGCAGAAAATAAATATTTTAATAAAGCATTACTTATTTATTGAAAATGCTCCAAGTTATCTTGCTAATTTGACATTCATTGCTTACTATACATAGCTGGTGATACATTAGGTTATACAACAAGGAAAACTCGGCAACAAGAGTCCTATGGAAGATTAAACTAAAGACTAAAAACATGAAAGCTACTTGAAACGAAACAGATTTCAGCGGTGGTGGTTCCTAGCTTCAGTGTAGACTGCCCGGTGTAGACTGTAAATTGGCTCCGAATTTTTTAAAGAACATACAACAAGAATGATAATGTGGTCCATGGTGAGTTTCTCTTATGAAAGATTTCTTGGAGCTGCATGCTTTGAAACAGGAAAGACTTTATACTCCCTACTACTACTGGATCGCTCCCATTGCGTGAGTGTGTGGATGTGTTTGTCCTGTTATGCACTGGCTATTTATCCAGGCCCTCCCCCTGACTTACTGCCTATTGTAGGCTCCAGGTCCCCCAATGACCATTTAGAAGATGAACAATTGGACGATGGATGATAATAACAGTAATGAAAAGGCAATACCGATGTATTTTTCTTTTCCAGGTCGACTGTCCATCCCCAATGGCTCCTCTTATTCCTCTACCTTTAGTTTCTGGAACCCAGATCCCCAGGTTCCTATAGATAGTGCTCCTGTACCTCCGCCTGCATCCCTCCCAGGGGAACTGAGGGAGTGCTACTATAATATCCAGGACCAAAGCACCTGCCGTGTGCTGACTCGAAATAGCACCTACCAGGAGTGCTGCTGCACCGTCGGGGAAGGCTGGGGTCTTCACTGCCAGTATTCACCCTGTCCCACCTCAGGCTCAGGTACTCTCACATATTTCTACTATCGCATGACCAGCTGTTTTTTTTTTTGATGTGTCTATTGTGAAAATGACATTCAGAAGACACATTTTACATAAACATGATACTATATTGTAACAAGGTAGGGGGGGACACTGAAGCAATGATATACTGTTTTATCGCAGTGCTTTCCGATAAATATCATATATAAAATATCAAAAAGATTTTGACAAAATATCAAAGATTTGCATGGTCTATAGTCGTGTTACAAGTGTCTTTGTTTTTCAGAAATAAGCATAATTTTCAGTGGTATTATTTTCGTTAGTTTTATGCCTTGTTCTCCTTGGTGATGCAATTACTAGCAGTACAATGAAATGGACAGTCAGAAAGTTAAACTGCTGATGTAACACCTTCACTGTGGGTGTGGTGTGTCTGCTTTAAAATCCAGCTGGGGAAACTTCTAGCATTGAGGTAGGCTGCCAAAGTTACACTGACATCAAGTGTTTTATTATTATTATTACTATTATTATTTTTATTATTGTTATTTTAATGTTCGCCTCATTTAGTTGAAAGACTAGTAGACGTGTTCTTATTACTAATTGGTATTCAAAATATTAGCCGAATTAAAGACACGTTGAGGAACACAAAAATCACAAATATCCTGCATCAAGCTATGAGTAAGGTGGCCAAGCCCTAGGATCTATCTTGCGTATTTAGAAAGAGAGGATTTGTGGTGTTCATATGACTTAGTCTACATGTCCAGTTGCTTGCATCAGCCATTTCTGTGCCCTGATCTTAACAATGCTAGTAATGATAGAAATTTAGAATTGGTATATTTATTATATGATATTTTGTAATCACCTCCTTTAAATAGGTCAAATAAAACTACTTTAGCTTTTACCAAATTGGAAAATTACTACAGACAAAACTTCTGAACAGAATAAAAAATCAGCTGCATTAAATATAATTTTATCGATTGATTGGTTGTTGACAAACAGGGTTGTGCTCTGCAGGAGACAGTGTAATTTAATGCATGAAGTATTGTGTTGAGGGAAGATGATTGCACCGTTTTTTGATGTTTTTGATTAAATACACAGATGAAAATCTACCACCCTGATATAAAACAAACAATATGGATTTCAAGCATAATTTTAATAGGCTATCCATATTATGAGACCATACGACTGTCTAGAATATACCTTTAACCTGAATTTTAACTTATCCAGTCTGTTAGGGCCTCATTGCACTTTTGAGCTATAAAATTTTATGAAGTTTAATAACAATGACTTATCAGATAAATAAGTAGGAAAGCATTGTAGGTACTAAATGTACATGAAACATTTTTAAATAGTAGCAGTGTGAGTAGTGTGATGTGGGTGACTGGGATATTTTTTTAAATTTCCTTTGTCAGCTTCAATAATACTAACTCATGTAAAAGAAATAAATGTACATTTAAATGCATAAAATGTATAAACACTAACAATGGATTACGGAAACTCATACGGAATGGAACAAATTCTCTATTTGATCTTTGTTTTTGTTTGTGTCTAGTGGCATACCAAGCATTGTGTCCAAGTGGGAGAGGCTATGTGACATCAGAATCTGGTGTTTACAGTTACAGAGGTAGGTTATTATGTAAAATGTCTTTGTCACCTTACATTACAGAAGACATTTAAACACAACCCACAGAAGAGCGAAGCACAAAACTAAAATTTATCTAGACACAAGAATCCTTTGTCAGGATTTCTATTATTATTATTATTATTAGTAGTAGTAGTAGTAGTAGTAGTAGTAATAGTAGTAGTAGTGTTGTTGTTGTTGTTGTTGTTATTATTATTGTTATTATTATTATTATTATTATTGTTAATAATAATAATTTTATGTTGTTGTTATGTTGTTGTTGTTAAACAAAGTATTAAAAATGATTTTACATTTGTAGTGAACATATGCATGAATTTCCGATGCACAAACAAAAACCATTCTTTTAAAATCAGAAGGCTCTAAAAATGCATCAAGGCAAACAAAAACAATTCATAGAACCACACAATCCCATCAATTAACATGCACACTCCCTGGAGCCATGGTTAGCCATTGAGCCTTTACTGGGAAACGGACAGCACACACTTCTCAATACATGAATACATGATTAAGAGATAGAAGTGCCCATGCTAAACTTTTTTGATACAGTATTTGCCAACGGCTTGATTAGCACACTGCTTCATATTTATAACCTTGGCAAAACATTGTGCTAAAGAAATTTTAAATTAAAATTGGTTTGATTCTTTTTTTTTGTCCTAGCCAATTTCCCAGAAAGGACTTGAATGAATAAACATAACTATCCTTTGTCAATATACTGTCAAAAATATTTTCTTCCCTGACGTCTGTCAAAAGTGTTTTTCTTATTTGTCTTTTCTAGCCAAAGGACATATTTTTCTTCCGTTTCCTCTCCGCTTTGTAACATATGCTTTGGAATTTGTGGTACAAACATTATCAATTGAAATGCAAATGCTAAGAAGATTTACTGGACTGTAAAATGGCATGTCATTGGTTCTGTGTATTTCAAAGTCAGATTTTTCACACTAAGTAAATATAAAGAAATTTTACTCTGTCTTGTTAGTTTCTCTTCTTGCATCCTGTGAGGCAATTTCACGGAATCAAGATCACTATTTCTATTTGCATTACTGTAAATAAGAATACTCAAAAATAAATAATTGTAAGACATTCTCTAGGTGGGACATAACACAGACATGGGAGGGAGAGGAGATGGGTAACAAAAGTATGAATAAAAATTCGACAGCCATTTTGGCGTCAGTGAAAGAAAAAAAGAAAAAAAACATTGATCATGGAGAGGGACTTTAAATGGGTGCAGGGGAGAGTGACAGATTATGAAAACTTGAGAAAAACTGTTTTATATAATGATTGGTAGTAGGGTACAGCTTGAATATACCTTAGTTCCACCCCAGAACATCCATAGGCACACTTGTGATCATTTCAGTATCTTTCCATTTCAGCATCATTTGCATTCGCATTCCTTCTCAGTCTACTTGCATATTGGAATGTTACTTGTAATTCAGGTGCCATTGATGGTGTGATCCAACACCTAAGGTACAAAAATGTTGCTCAAATGTATTGCTAGCTCTGAATTAACTTGGCTGTTGGACTCTGTGAGTGCATGTGCATGTGTATGAATACCCAGCAATACTACTGGCATTGTGGCTGAAGTTTAGCTTTACGTTTAATAACATTTAAGACTCTTTAGCACAAACCAGCTTAGCAGTTTAAAGTATATTACACACCGAATGCCTAAATGACACAGGCCGCTGACATAGAAACAAGTGAATGATAGTGACAATGAGATGCATTATCTAAAGACCATATCTAAGACTAAGAAGTTGTGTGAAGGAGTGGAAGGGAACTGGGAATTTTTTGTTGGAGGAATTTTACATCATTACCAAGGATCGGAAATTTCTGAATTTTAAATGGTTGTCAGGGAAGAAAGCTGATAAATGAAGAAAATGTTGAGGCAGGTTGATGAGAGGGTGTGTTGTATGTCCTAAATAAGCTTACAATGTCTGGCGATAGACGCAGGTAGCCCAGGGAGATTCAGTAGTCCATGAGAGAGATTGTCATAGCCTAATTAAGCAGCTGATTGGACAGTGAAGTAAAGACAGGGCACCTGGATGTTGTAGAAAAGAATTCTAGGATTCTGTGCTGGCAGATTTTGAGTTTGTCATCAGATTTGATTTCAGATTTCAGACAATGACACGATTACATTGTCCGAGATGGTGGTGAGTGCATGGTAGGGATGAGGAATTTCTCTGTTTTGGACAGGTTAATTTACAGATGGTGGTGTGTAATTGAAGTGAAGACATCAACCAGTGATGCACGTGGAGACCTGTGTGTCAGAGGAGAGGAACGAGGTAGAATCTCCCCGGCAGTTGTAGGCTGTGTTATGTCATGTGCCTGCAGAGATAGACGATGGTAATATTTTTTTAATAGATGGACTGGAAAATAACTAAAAGGAAACCTATACATTGTTGTAAATTTGTAATCAAAACCCACTGGAATTACTGTGCGCCTAGTGTAAAGGTTTTTTGCATATATATATCCAGCTGGTACATCTACATAAACTGAAAAGATTGTATGTCTATTAGAAAAATGTATACGCTATTTTAATGTAAGCATTTTCTGTAACTACTTACAGTATCCTATTCAGGGCCATGGGGGTCCAGAGCCTATTCTGGGGGTTACAGGCACAAGGCAGGGCATAATATATATTTTTCAGTATTTGAAAAATGTATGTATATATTATATATATTATGTAGGTGATACAAATTTATATCCCTAAGACAGTAAGGCTATAAATTATTTGGTATGCCTTGTTTGTAAAAAGTCATGATTTTTTTAAATCAGAAAAGTCAAGTCGACAATTTTTTTATAAAATAAATTCATACAAAACAAAATATAAATATAAAATATCTTATAATATATTATACCTTCATAGGTTTGCCACCATGTGAAAATATTCCAGTAGTATTCTTGTCACATATCGTTTAAATTTAAGACAGATAAAAATCTACATTAGGTCAGTCTTTTTGTAATCAACAACCTCAGTAATAAGCAAATGCATCCATTATACACCGTTGGGGTGCTATTATGAAAATGAGCTCTTTATTGCATGTCTTCCAGTTGAGCCCATACTCGATATATTTGTGCTTGGCAAAAAAACTACTAATCAGCTATTAGTCAACTATTAATATTAACGCTTTTTCTTAATGGGTGCGAGCACTTTCTGCGTGCGGCTGCTGTACTGTGTCTCTGTTTTCTCATCCTCCTCTCAAACACCTCTAAACCGAAGTAAATTCATTTATACGGGACTGTGTGGTTTGCATCGCCAGAAGAGAAACTGTAACCATGGAGGAATTACATACTGGTGTGGGCCTCTTAATAATTATACCAAAATCAATACTGCCACTCCGTAAATGTTACTTGGCGCTTAATACTCTAACAAAATACTGCTTCAGTAAACCCATATGTTTGTCCTGTTAGTAAATAGAGTAGTAATAATAATAATAATAATAATAAAGAATAGCGCCTTAGCTAATTTGCTCTAAAACAGAACGGATGTCTCATGTACTTTTTGCTCCCTTTCTTGCAGATGTGGATGAGTGCAAGCTGTTTGACCCTGAGGTCTGTAAAAGGGGTTTGTGTGTGAATAATATCCCTGGATACGCATGCTACTGCCCCACTGGGAACTACTACCATTCCATACTATTGGAGTGTATAGGTCAGCAATCCACTTTATTATTCATCATTTTAGCTTTTTTTTTTTTTTAATCTGGATTGTACCCAAATTCACTTTGCATCCAGTATCTGGATGAATGACCAGTTGTGTGTGCCTTTATATAATTTCTCTCCTTTGCATTGACACTCCTTTCACGTTACCAGACAACGATGAGTGCGAGGGAGAAGTGGCTTGCTTTGGCGGGACCTGTGTAAACACAATGGGCTCATTCTACTGCTCATGCGAGCCACCGTTAGTGCTTGACTATACTCAGAGAAACTGCGTCAACATGACAGGCTTCACCACTGGTAAGCTTTGATCAGTCTTATCACAAGAGGAGCTCCTTTGTGATTGGACTCCTAAGATTACACTCATTGTTTTAATTTCAGTAACACTTTACTTGATCGAACACAAATACTTAGTTATAACTCAGTTACTATTTCCCTTTAAGAAATAATGTAAATGAATTTAATCCGTTCCAGACCCAAGCGATTGCCTATTTAAACTTATCTACCTACCTAGCATTAATCAATATAAAACTAATACACACATGAAAAAAGCACACATATTAAAGCAATAGACATGAAATAAATGACACCACACTCCAAAGCGAAAGCAGACACACATGCACCACCTTAAAGTCTCACTATAATTTCCTTTTTAAGTTCTACAGTTTCTCTCACTACTTTCCTCTTAGGTTTGCTGGTATCACTGCTCACTTTCTTAGGGGCCATGATTACTGTATCACTAAATGTACTGTAGATAAAGCACAAAAAAAAAACACCAAACACAGAAACACAGCTTTCGCACGTCAAACTCGGTCGAGAGGCACCGCGTCACTAACAGTGATTCAAAGACATCAGCATCCCAGCAATGCCTTCGTTTCAGCCCTTCAGAGACGCATCTCGATCTGTACAAGTCCTGTTCCGAGTTTTCAGTCGAGTTGCGGTTAAATTCTCGACCCACCCATTCAAGGTCCGGATTGGTTGAACGTGTTGTGACTCATTCAAATTCTACCAGGAATGGTTGAGTTCCAAGATTTCGGTCAAGATACAAATCAAAAGAAAAATCAACAGACCCATTCAATGTCTGAGTTGGTCGAATTGAGTTCCAAGGTTCTACTGTATCATATTATTTGTGCCCTGTCAAGTAAAGTGTTACCGTAATTTTTATATGACAAATAGATTGTTGTTTGCCTTGTTTTAAGGGTAATTTATGAAATTAATCAAAACCACATGCACATTTACATTGTCCTTAAATATTTTAATACATCTATCCACCCTCCAACCATGATGCATCACCCATGATGCATTGGACACGTGGCAAGGAACACTGTAGAAAATGCTAGCGCATAACAGCAAAATAGCTGGCTCACTTTAAATGTACTGCATGTATATAAATAAAATGTAAGTATCCCTCAGGAAAATATAGCCATTTTAAAAATATATACACATGTTGATGTATTTTTCCAACCCAGAAAATGGGTCTCTGAATACATTTAAAAATACAAATTCCCATTGTTAAATTTATTTTTTTTGTTAAATGTGGCAACCTTAATCCATTTAGATGCTATCAAAGGATCTTTAAAAATAAAAAATAAAAAAAAATAAAAATCAGGCATCCACAAAGCTTCCCTGGGGTCTTCTTACTTTTTCCTCAAGAATGGACAGGAGCAATGTCTGATAGCACTGTCAACGCCTCAGGATTTTCCCACACTTCCACACTGCAGACTTAACATTCCACACAAGTTGATACCACACACTGCACCTGAACCACATGCCCTCCCACTGGCAATTACATGGGAAAACAGGTTACTGCTTGCCCCTTACACACTGAACATTGCAAAATAAAAAGAAAATAAGAACAATGCTCAGGGCATTCCACCCCCCACCCCCCCATACCACGAGCAAAATGAAACATCCAGCAGCGTATATTTCTAACACACTTTCATCCATCACGACCACTTTTGCCACGACACTACCGTCCAAGACAGAAAGCGGAAATGGTCTCTCGGTGGCAGACTTTGCTACACCCCACAAACTCGCCGAACCAGAAAGCAGAACATGCTCCTCTTATCGTAAGCAGGATGAAACGCCCGCTATGGCACTTCCTCCCGCGCCGGCCCGTCTGCCGCACAGCACCCACTCAGCAGGCTCCCCTGCTTCTGATCTTCCCTTTTAAGAAGCACACAGCTCCCCACATTCATCAAGCTCACCAGCACATGGTATAAGCACAACGCCAACTCAAAAACACATCTACTATCTTAGTATAAACAATGGAAGAATACTAGCCCACTGCCCTGAGCCAGAGTCCAGCTGCAGTCCAAATATACATTCCCACGGGACTACTCCATCTCTTAGTTCAGCTTATTTCCTTTATCCTCACAGCTGATTACACTTAACCAGCCCCCGGTGTGCCCCACTGATCATCTATTAGCTTCTTAACAGAACATGCTCAGTAGACGATTGGCGCTCTTTCACTGCCACCACGAACCGAGCCGAATCCGAGCTGTATCGTGAACTAACGGTTTTTCGTTGTAAACTAGCAGGACAGAAAGCGTGACCGAACCAAACTGATTGCGTCGCCACCATCTGAATGGTTGAAATGCACGGAGATACTGGTGATCTGCGTCGATATGCGTGGATTATCTGAAGGGGAAAAAAGGGCATATTCTTTATAATATTCATTATTATTAGTATCGCACATCGTGATGTATTGATGCATTCCCAGTAACTCATAACATAAATATTTCCAACCTCCCACTTACTGTAAAAAAGTAGTACAGAACAGCTGAACAAACGGATCCGTAATGCAAAGTTACACAAGCGAAAGATAATTCAGCTAGCTTTAGATGCTAACATTAGAGAGCAATTCTCACAGACGTGCTATCAGAAATTAGCACATATAGTTAATCCTGATGTAGACCGTGTTAACAGTAAATAAGCGTCTCTTCAGTTTTACGTCACTATCACTCTCCAAACCTAGGAACACCTTTACCGAGCTGACCTTTCTGCAGTCGAAAATCAAAGCGAACTGCATCCACACTGTATTTTCTTTTCGCAGTACGGCTCAGTTCCTGTATGCCAGTGGAAAAGCGCCATATGCCGTTCTTGCAGATCCCCACTAATTCCCATGCTTGAACCTGACACATGTTCTCCCTGCGGCATGAGGGTGTCTTCCCACTGCCTGCAGTTAGGTTAATCGGTGTCTCTAAATCACCCATATTGCGTGCTTGCATCTGGGTGTTTGTGAGCACACCCTATAACCAAAAAGCTTGTATCCTGTCCAAAATTTAGCTGTGTTTATGTCATGTGCTACCTGGGATAGACTCCAGGCCCCCCTTGAGACCAGAATAAGTGAAGGGTAGATAGATGGATACAATTTGGTATTAATTAACATATCCTCCCGTGCGATGAAATCTCTTTTCTTACACGGCAAACTGTCATCCCTCGATAGATGAAAATCTGGCAATTTGCTGGGGGCAAGTGACAGAAGAACTGATATGCCAAAATCCCCTGCTAGGCCGGCAGGTAACGTTCTCAGAGTGCTGCTGCTTGTACGGATACGCCTGGCAGCTGGATTGCGCTTTGTGCCCCAGCCAGGATTCAGGTACTCTACTGAAATATACCTGTTTAAGTTAAAACATTATACTTAAGCATTACAATAGGTTTAAACATTATAATTAAAACATTTTTACCAGCTTACAAAACTGAAAATAAGCAGCTGGGATTTTACTGAAAACAGAGCAACAAAAAAGTTACTTTGATACAATGGTACTATAAAAAGTAAACATACTTTGAATATTTTAAATATGATATTAAGTGTTCAAAAATAAAATTTGGCTTAGTTATTTAACACATAGTTAACGCTCTGCGTTTCTACTCTGTCTTCTCAGATGATTTTGAGGTGCTCTGTAATGCTTTGAGACCTCCAGGTATGCACAGACCAAACGGCCCTGGTACTGATCGTGATCTCAGCCGTGGCGAAGAATACGATATGCTTTATGAATCCTACCCTGAACGCCCGGCACCAGGGTCTGACTTCACTTCCCCAGGCTACAATCCATACGCTTCTCTAAGGGGCCGTACATCTGGCTATAGAGGAAGACCTCTGGGACCTTATAGACCACAAGAGTCTCCATATGACCGACAAGCTTATGCCTCACGGGGACCAGAACGAAGAGCCTATTTACAAATGTCAGATGTTGTCCCGGAGCCTGTCTACGAAGCCCGGCCACGTCCCCGAAGCCGAGGGGGCGCGAGGAGCCTTCCTCCGCGTCGTCAAAGTGCCGGCTACCGCGACCTTGAGGACGAGGATGGGAATGTGGATGAAACTCGTCCTGTTGAGTCATGGATGCGTTTTCTGCCTGAGGAAGCACGCTCCTATCCAAGTTATCCAAGCCAGCCTTCTGGCAGGGCACTTCCTGAGAGTAAGAGACTTCTTTACTATCCTTGATAAATTTAACAATTTAAAAATTGTCTATTTTGAGAAATTATAGAAAATGCCTATTATTAATGTTAATTATTTTTTTTGTGATATAACCAGAAATGAGACAGTATTGACTGAATTACCTTAACTAGAATGTTGTATACAGTAGTAATAAAAGGGATGAGGTGTTATCTGACTCTAACAGTGCTGCCCATTCCTTCCTAAGGACGGTATGAATCTTATCAGAGTTTCAGCACTGATGAGTGTGGAATCGTGAATGGCTGCCAGAACGGCCGCTGCATTCGCATCTCGGAGGGATACACCTGTGACTGCTATGATGGCTACTATTTGGACATTGCTTCAATGACTTGCATAGGTAGAATCTGTTACAAATTGCATGCAGTTCCTTTCTGCAGATACCATTTTTTGTGACTTGGTCACTGAGTAGCTTAGTCTAGCCTTTCCAAGTGGATTTTTTTTGTAAAACTTGGAGGGATGCTTTTACCAAAATTACTAAAAAGTACAGTATGCTTTTCTTTTTTAGTGCCATTTAGTGCCGTTACTGAAAAGCGTACATAAATGGGACACCATTGTAATAAATCAAGTAGTTTCTCTTTATTTATTTAAAGCACTAATTTGTATCGCGGAAACCAAGCATGCATCCATCCATTTTCTGTAACTGCTTGCCCTAATTAGGGTCATGGGGATACCAAGTACCCATTAATATAAAAATTAGTGATGGCCAAATGAAGCTACATGAACCAATTGCTGTATTTTCTGACACCACTAGATGGTGCTCTCTTCAAAAAAGGGCTCAATTCATGCTCCAAAGAAACCGAGAACGCCATCTAGTGGGGTCAATAATATAGAAATAATAATAATAAATATAGAACATGTTTCATGATGCTTCATTTGGCCGTAACTAATAAAATGTATTAATGTACAGATTAATATATCTTTTTTTTCTTTACTTTTATCTACCCACCAGACATAAACGAATGTGAGGAGCCGGATGACCCTGCCACATTGTGTGTGAATGGGCAGTGCGTCAACACTGATGGCTCCTACCGTTGCATATGTGAACGAGGATATATCATGTACCATGAGCCAAACCTGTGCATCCCTTCCAGATCTCGCCCATGAGACTTGGCCGGCTCTAATTTCTTGTTGCCAGAGTACTGTCATCTTTCAATCTGCAGATTGTCAAAGAGAATCTGACAATGCAAAAAACTGGAGGATATCAGTCCTGAGTTAAAGAAGCATCCTGAGATGTGTGTGTGTGTATATATATATATATATATATATATATATATATATATATATATATACACAAAAAACATATTTCCAGATTTTCAAATATAAACGCGTGAATTAATCATGATCCAAATAGATCGTTTTTTTTCCCCAAATTATATGTATTGCTTCCACAACTGTGTAAATAGACGATTAGAAGCTGTTTATTAGATAGCATGTATACATTGGCCAGATGAAAGTAATTAACCTTGGGAAATGGTTGGCCACCTTCATGATTTTGCACTGGATTCATAAGATTTTGAAAAATAATCTTTCTGATGATTGATTTTCAGAACTAGTGTTAGCAGATGGGAAAATTGTTGAGTTACTTAAGACATGTCTGATTTTAATCTTATTTCTACTTAAAGTCTACTAATAATATTTCTAATAATTCAATCATACATTTTAATGAAAACATGGAATTTTGATTCTTTTTGTTTGATAAGGAAAAGAATTAGAACAATAGCATGTGACATTTTAAGGGCATTTAAAGGTATTAACGATAATACTAACACAATCAAGACTTCACAAATTTCAATTTATCTTTTGTATGCACTTAAAGTTTTTAAAAATATTTTTTTAAATTTAAAAAAATATGTAATAGCTAATGACAATTTATTTAATATGTATTAAATTAATATTTGTTTCACATTTGTTTAATTGAAAAATCCATGTATTTTCATACCGGTTTGTTTTATCTCTTTACAGTTTGTATAGACAGTGATTTACCACCAAAACATTTCACTAAAAAATGTGTCATAGAATGCACTGTACTTAGCCTTCTGTATTCCTTACTTGTACATGCAAAAAGAAGTTATAACTATAATTTCACATACCCTGTTTGTATTTGTTTATTTTACTGTTTTTTTTTTACATCCACTACATTTTAAGTAAATATGCAACAAAATTACAATTTTATTATTTATTGTGTTAAATTTCTCTATAGTACTCATCTGTGAACACATCCTATACAATCCGCTGATAAATTGTTTGTAAATTCTCTATTCACTGTCTAAAGGTTAAGGTGTGCTCAGGGTCTAGCATATTGTTGTAAAATAGTATATTGTAGATAGCTGGTGAAATTTAATCATTTTTTTTTGATCAAATATCGCAAAAACTTGCAGCATACATGACCATGGGACATGGGCAGCAGGTACAGAAGAGGCACTATATTTTGCATAGGAACAGAAAAAATAGGTAATAAATGGGTATTTGCCAAAAAGATGGAGTTTTTGGATATAACAAACAACTTGGGATGGAGAGGTTGCCTGATACAGCTCATTTAAATGTTCCTACAGAGAGAATCAAGAGATATCTCAACATCTGCAACAATGCTAACCACTGTGCCACCATACCACCCCACTATGACATTTATCTTCCAGCTTATTAAGGCTCCTTTAGGTCCACATCTCATTGAGTGATTCAATCAGATGCTCAAACAGATGGTCAGAAGTGTTACGGACAAGGATGGTCAGAACTGGAATATGATGCTACCCCACATCCTCTACTGCATCCAGGAAACGTTCTGAGCCTCCACAGGGTTCACCCTGTTAATCTTCTCTTTGGAAGAGAATGTTGGAGCCTGCTCAATACGGCAAAGGAGTGCTGAGAACAACAACGCTCTCAATACTGTAAGACGGTGGAACATGTCTGGGAGATGACAGAGGATTGAGAAGATCATACCTCATTAGAGAACACATGGATCTGGCTGAATAAGCCCAACAACAAACCTGGAAATTTCTGCCCTTGTGAGTTTCCATCCTAATCTCAATTGCCTCCTGCAAGTTCCTGGCTTCCCAACTGGGGCCTTAAACCATAAATAGAAAAGGTGGGTCCTATGACCAATGTCCTGAGACAGTGGATCGAGCTGGGATCACCTGTCAGCACTCTGCGCCGCACCTCCAGACGAAGTCCACACAGGTGTGGACTTCAGCTTGGCCCAGTGTCATGTAGAACAACCTGCAAGCCTGGTGAAACTGCAGGACATTGTGGACAACTACATTGTGGTCTGCACCCACCTAATCCAGCACCATATCGAGAAGGTCACTGGTGTTGTCATTTGCCGAAGGTCCTACGAAATCCCTTGACTATTAAATGCTGTGTTCCCAGAAGATGTAAAGATGCCATTTGTGAGCAAGTAGTCCCAAAACCCAGTCATGTTCCATTCTGATGGTACCTAAGTTGGACAGTTCTGAAATTACTTCCACTGGCTTAATGATATCACCCATTTCAACAGCTATCCCATGACTTGAGGAAGGGCTAGGTAAGGCCTGCTTTATTTCTACTCTGGACCTCACTAAGATTTAGTGGCAGGAACTCCTTATCCCAGCTGCCAACTTCACCACACCCACTGGACACTGGCAGTATTGCATACTCCCTATTGGACTCCATGGGATGCCTGGTGTCCCCCAAAGCCTGAAGGGCATCATGCTTCAGCCCTGTTGTAGATTCCAGACTGGTCCACCTTGACAATGTTATCATCCACACCAAAAGCTGGGCAGAGAACCTAGTCTACCTCCACAGGGTACAGGATTTCCAGCAGGGGGCGCTCACCGCTAACCACTCCTGACCTTTCCATACTTTGTCACCAAGAACCAGGTATGGGCTTATGGCCCTTGGAATCCATTTGGCGGGGACCTCACCTGAACAAGTCTCTTTCCAACAACTGATGAAAGCCCTCGCCACTGAACCGATCCTGCATACCCCCAACTTTGAACAACACATGAGAACCTGGGGTGGGAGCCATCCAGTCACAGGACAAAGGTGAGGAACACTCCATAAAGAAAACACCTACTGAATAATGATAGGCCACCTTGGAGCCATCCTGTATCTTTCCAGGTAGTCCTTCACACAAACCACACAAAATGCTCTATGTGGCTATGGCTAAGGACACAAATTCCCAACTGACCCATTGGTTCTTCGCCCTCCAAGACTTTACAAGCACCATGCCAGGCCTGTCCATGCAGATGGTCTCTCCAGCATGCATCCCCTCCCCCCACACAACCCCCTCACACCCATCCAATTATGTGAGTCCTTCTCAGTGACCTGGAGGCCCATAGTGAAGCTTGGTGTGAGTGTTGGGGGGGAGGGGGGTGTTCCTGCTAGGAATCTGCTGTGCACCAACAGTTTTCATTCCACACTATGCAGGCAGACAGCAACAATAACCTCCTCACAGTAAGCAAGTTACCTACGTGTTCTTGTCCTGCTCAAGTAAACGGTCCAGAAGATGAGCACCTGGATGGGACCATGAGACCCAGAACCCAACACCAAAAGACCCAAGGTGGCTTGCTTGGGGAAAAATCCCAGGTCATTTACACAATCTAATTTATACACAGTATTCCTTCATAAAAAGATATCTTCCAACCTCTGTGCCAGTGTTTTACATGGGATCTTTATATTAGTATAGACAAAATAATACACATTTAGTATGTGACCATGCAAGACTATGAGTTGTCCCAGTAAAAGTTTTTGTAGCTTTTCCCATAAACAATGTTTGAAACCAACAGAAAATAGTCAAACTACATTATGCATTTTTTTAATGACTGGGAATGGGATGAATTGGAAGCTAAGTGGAATCACCAATAGCATAACCGACTAGTATATACCGACTTTTTTATGTAGACACAATATACTTTTAGAAAAAGAAAAAAAACTGCAGTCATGGAGATGGCGTGGCAAACGGAAAACTGCATTACTCCTCTGATTTGACAGGTGGCCGCGGCGAAGCTGAGATCCATGGAAAGCAGCCACCTGTCACGCTGCAGTGCCTCTGTTATAGACAGCATGAGCGCCTAGCCACACAGGACGGGGCTGGCAAAATGACCGCGAGTGAAGATCATGATACACACGCGCGCAGCTACTCGGGCACTATTCCAGGGGCCTCAAAAGGATCTTACCCAAGGCTAGAAGGAGCTTGTTTTGCTGCAGCAGACTGTTCATATGTCTCACTATATTGAATTGTGCAATGTCTCCCACAGACATCAACATAATCAGCATAGTCTGGAAGCAGCTTCCATTCCAGTTACTTCTCATCGAGCACTAAACTACCTCAGCACTACGAAATATAAGCTGACCAGAACAGAAAAGGATTAGTGTAGTTACACCCTTATCAATGAAAAACAAATACAGAGTATACAGATTTAAAACACTGGGTATACATTAAACAGTCCGTCATTTTATGTCTTAGAGTAAATTATAAATAAGTTTATAAAATCCATCCATCCATTTTCTGTGACTGCTTGTCCTGTTCAGGGTCACGGGGGGACCGGAGCCGATCCCTGAGGTTATGGGCGCAAGGCTGACAAAAAAAAATGCTGAAAATATAAATAAAAACACCAGGCGAAAGCAATTTTTAAAACTTTACTTATTTAACTTTGTCCCTTGATTCAAGGAAAAATGAGCAGCCCTGCTCATTAACACATGCTAGAAAGCCCACCCACAGCTTCTCCATACTTAGGGGACCAACATCTCTTAAACTGCCCAGACAGCAAGTTACGGCTACTGTTGTCATAGATTCTGTACAACAGGGCCTGATAGATTACGCCTTAGATTGGCAAAGCTAAGAATGAGGCCTACTAGTGTGTTTCTTGTGTCCTTTATATTGTTCCCGGTCTTGGCCCAGACTAATGACCACCCCCATTTGTAGAGAAAAAAAAACAGGAAGATCCTGCCACCACCGTAAGTATGTCGTGATCAGGAAAGACCACCTGCTCTAGATAAAGCTGTGGCCCAGCAATTGCCTCATGGCAAAGCCAGGCCACTGACAATGTTCTGTATCAATGCCCATTCTCAGTAGGTGCTACCCCAGGATGCCAACCTGGGCAGGGGTGATGTCAGTGCAGAGCAGAAGCAGTCAAGCCCATGGAAAGCTTTACTTACCTGCAGCCCTGTGTTCCCTGAAATAATCTCTGGACTGACTAACCCTGGATTAAATAAGCGGAAAAATCAATGGAATTCTTAGGAAAATCAATGGAATTTCACACCATGCAGATTTGTCTTTGCTTCAGTTTAAAAATGAAAAAAAATTTGCTATCGCAAAAAGATGGGTGCTGCTCAACAAAGTAAATTAATTGGAATATTAAAGCATAGCTTTAAACAGAGTCAATAAAAGACATGCCCTCTTTTTCCAGAAAAACTAATACGCTTCCTGCCTTGCTGGGCCTACCACTAGGAGCATGTAAAAAACAATGGTTTTAAAAAACCAAAACAGTGTGGAATTTAGTTATGATGGTTATAACTATGATGTGTAATGAAAAAGAAATCTGAATCACACTATTGTGAAATTCAAAAGGTCAAAAAAAGGTTAAAGACAAAATGCCCAATAAGTGTTCTTACTACCAAGCAGAAAGAATACTGATGTTGTCCTACGATCTTACGTTAAAACAACCTCACAATGTTGTACAATTTTAAAAATATCTTACTAGAAAAAAAACACCTTTCTGCAAAAATGTACCTGATATACAAGCAATTGAACAACCATCCAAATTACGTAAAAATTTACGAGAATGATGGCCAATATACTACCAGGAACTAAAATCATGCATGTTTAAAGCAATTCACATTGTTCGTCTATAAAATGTTTTCAGAACGTGGATCTTTACAAAATATGAGACACGTACACTGATATTCTAACTTGAAAACTGGGTCACACTCCAAAAAAGCTTAATTACAAATTCTTGCACATATGTTTACTGAAAATGAACAGCTGAAAATGGTTCATTGATGAAAGACGCGAAAGGACATGAATTGTTCAGATCAACAGATGTCCAGGAAAACACTGGTGCCAGATACTATTCAAAGTCTGCACAACTTTTGCACCGGAATTTACAGAACTCACGCTGTCATCGTGCCAGGTGTTGGTGTGGAATGTTTTAACAGCACAGGATATCTAAATACCATTGCCAGTCAGAGGTA